CCCCAGGCGAGTATATTATAAATCGTAAGTGACTCTCTTGTAAATATAATTGGTCTTAATAATTGCCTATTCAAGATCAAACAGGGACAGATCACAGCAAATCTATTTCCCACGAGTGGTGCTTCCATTGATTGTTTGTTTTGGGGAGAGTTTTCAGGAAAGAGGAAAATAACTACAGCCAAATATAGAACTGGTCCCTGGCACATTAAAAAGGAGGGAAAAATCCTGATTTCCTACCACAAATAGCCTGGTAAGCATTGCTATATCCCACACAGAGGCAGCAGATAGGCATTCTGCAGAAACTGGTCTTGCAATTTAGTTCAGAATGCAAAAATTACTTCTATCTTAACACTGCTAGATGCACATTTTATACATCTCACTGCCCTTTTACATCCTCATTTTAATAACACATTCCCTTCAATTTTTGCAATATTGAAGTGGCTGACCTATTTACAGCAGAAAATAAGCAGCCAGGAAGAGATGCCTATCCTTTCAGCAAACCCACTGCTTTCCTTCTGAGTTGTTGTGAGTTTTCCGGGGTATGGCCATGTTCCGGAAGCATTCTCTCCTGACATTGCGCCCACATCTATGGCAGGCATCCTCAGAAGTTGTGAAGTCTGTTGGAAACTATGTCAGTGAGGTTTATATAGCTGTGGAATGTCCAGAGTGGGAGAAAGAACTCTTTGTCTCTTTTAGATAGGTGGGAATGCTGCAACTGGCCACTTTGATTAGCATTTAATAGCCTGGCAGTTTCAAGTTCTGGCTTCTTATTGCCTAGGGGAATCCGGCACAGGTTAAACCCCTGTGCCGGCAGGACTGAAGACCGACAGGTTGCAGGTTCGAATCCAGAGAGAGGCGGATGAGCTCCCTCTATCAGCTCCAGCTCCTCATACATGAGCGAAGCCTTCCACAAGGATGATAAAAACATTTTAAAAAATCATCCAGGCGTCCTCTGGGCAACGTCCTTGCGGACGGCCAATTCTCTCACACCAGGAACGACTTGCAGTTTCTCAAGTCGCTCCTGACACGACAAAAAAAAGGGGGGGAATCCTTTGTTGGGAGGTGATTAGCTTTCCTTCTGTTGATTCTTAGAGCCGTTTCCCCTGTTCTCCATCAAGGTTACTAGTTCTGGATATATGTTTCACCACAAACAAGGGCTTTGATCCCTAGTGAGGGTCAGGAGGAGAGAGAGAGAGAAAAAAAATCAGAAGTCAATTGTTGCTCTTGCTCTGTGCCACTCTTCCTCCTCCAATCCCCATTCCACTATTCAGTGGGAAAGTGACTTGAAAAGAGGAGAGACACAGTTCTAGCTCAGTTCCTGATCTCTCTCCAACAGACCATTATTAGTTTTGCTGGAACTTCTTATTTACGCAGCTAATTTCCCCGGCTGCCCATGTTCTCCAAACCTTGCCATCAATGTCTGTACCAGCAATGAAGAGCCATCTCATATGGTAGGTTGCACAACCATCCAATTAATGATGTAGCGTGCAGGGAAATTATAGCCCGTGGTTTTAATGTGGCCAAAATGCACAGCAAAGCAGTCTTTGCAAATGGATGTGGCTTTGAAAATTATACGAATGTGGCTGGTTCCATCTTAGAAGGAGACAGTCTGTGTTGAACAATGTCTCCGAGGAATTAACCAGATGCTCATCGGCACCTAAAGAAAGACTCTGAATGGGAGGCATGGGTGTCCCATGGTGATATAGAAAGGAGAGAAGCAGCTCTTTGTCTGATCAGGTTTTGGTGCGTGGATTTGCCAGCATCTTCTGTTACGAGTAGGTAGCAGTTTATTGTCGAAGGCTTTCATGGCTGGAATCACTAGGTTCTTGTGGGTTTTTTCGGGCTATAGGGCCATATTCTAGAGGCATTTCTCCTGACGTTTTGCCTGCGTCTATGGCAAGCATCCTACCTCTGAGGATGCTTGCCATAGATGCCGGCGAAACGTCAGGAGAAATGCCTCTAGAACATGGCCCTATAGCCCGAAAAAACCCACAAGAACCTAGGTAGCAGTTGATTTGAAGGGCTTCCTTGACTTACACATGAGTATATACAGTGGGAGGATTTAGGTGAATATTTGGTATGTCACACATGGAATTAATGGTTCGCCACAATTAGAGAACTGGATTCTAATTTCCTTTTCCTGTTTTCATTTATTTTTGTATCACTTTGAAACCCACAGGACTCCAGAGCGGAGAATAAGACAGGACTTATTTGTTTGTGTTGCCTTTAAAATAATTCATTGTGATGCCATTTTGTTGTAATGCCATTTTATGGTTTTTTGTGGCTTTAGTGCAGGCCTGGGCAAACTTTGGCCTTCCAGGTGTTTTGGACTCCAACTCCCATAATTCCTAACATCCTCAGGCCCCTTCCTTTTCCCCCTTAAGCAGACTCAGGGCGGATTCCAACATTCAGATGCAAGATAAACATTCAATGCCTTGAAATAATGAAACACAGAGAGAGAGAGAAAAGGAAAGGCTTCTCCATCATTTCCAGCTCTGGGGATGGTGCTCATCTCCATTTCTAAGCTGAAGAGCCTGCATTGTCCGTAGACACCTCCTAGGCCATGTGGCCAGCATGACTGCATGGAGCGCCGTTTACCTTCCTGCTGAGGCAGTACCTATTGATCTACTCACACTTGCATGTTTTTGAACTGCTATGTTGTAAGGAGCTGGGGATAACAGCCTCGTGGATTCAAGCCACCAACCTTCCAATCAGCAAGTTTAGCAGCTCACCAGTTTAATCCATTGCACCACCGTGGCTCCTTGAAAAGAAGGAAAAACTTCCTGACAATGAAGAGCTGTTCAGCAGTGGAACTCTCTGCCTCAGAGTGTGGTGGAAGCTCATTCCTTGGAGCAGGCCCATAGCCAGGATTTCGTTTCGGGGGGGGGGGGGGGAATTTTTTTCAGGGGGGTTTTTGGGGGGGCTGAGTTTCGGGGGGGGGGCTGAGTCTGAGTGAAAGAGGGTCTAGCCTAGCAAACCTTTTGTATCATTACCCCAATACCCCCATGCATATGGGATATATTGAGTATGGTGATCAGATCATGATATCAATAAACATAACAGTTTAAATAATGCACCAGTAAGGCCTTGGAACCCCCAGTGGCAAAGTGGGTTAAAGCACTGAGCTCCTGAGCTTGTTGATCGAAAGGTCGCAGGTTCGATTCCGGGGAGCAGCGTGAGCTTCCGCTGTCAGCCCTAGCTTCTGCCAACCTAGCAGTTCGAAAACATGCAAATGTGAGTAGATCAATAGGTACCGCTCTGGCGGGAAGGTAACGGCGCTCCATGCAGTCATGCCGGCCACATGACCTTGGAGGTGTCTACGGACAACGCCGGCTCTTCGGCTTAGAAATGGAGATGAGCACCACACCCCAGAGTCAGACATGACTGGACTTAATGTCAGGGGACTACCTTTACCTTTACCTTTTTAAGGCCTTCTCGCGGACCACCATGAGAATTTCGGGGGGGGGGCCTGAAGCCTCTCAAGCCCCCCCCCCTCCCCCGGCTACATGCCTGCCTTGGAGGCTTTTAAACAGAGACTTGATGGAGGGTGCTTTGGTGGTGCATTTCCTGCCTGGCAGGTTGGAGTTGGCCTGGATGGCCCTTGCAGTCCTTCCAACTCTATTATTCTGTGATTCTATGAAATGCTCAGCCTAGAGGTGCTCAGCAGTTGGGTTTGGTGGTGTAGAGGTTTATTTCTTTCATACTAAAAGCACTGCATAAATTAGTATCAAACTGGTAAAAATTAAATATCATTTGACCAAAATCGGGCAACAGCAATGGCATTGTCTGTAGCCTCCAACAATTCTTCCCAGGCATGTAGCGGGGGGGGGGGGGGGCGGGGGCTTCAGCCCCCCCCCGAAATTCTCATGGTGGTTCGCGAAAAGGCCTTACTGGTGCATTATTTAAACTGTTATGTTTATTCATATCATGATCTGATCACCATACTCAATATATCCCATATGCATGGGGGGTATTGGGGTAATGATACAAAAGGTTTGCTAGGCTAGACCCTCTTTCACTCAGACTCAGCCCCCCCCCAAAAAAAACTCAGCCCCCCCAAAACCCCCCTGAAAAAAATTCAGCCCCCCCCCCCAAACGAAATCCTGGCTATGGGCCTGATTCTTCCTCTGTACATGAGGCAGGGCATAGTGGACAAGCATACAGATGTGGAGTTGTCTGTTCTGCTCCACAGTCACACAAGGCGTGGGATTCTTTTAGATAGTGCCATTTGGCCAGGTTGCTTTTTGTTCTGCCTACTCCACTTCTGAGTCTGTTCAGGGACTTTCAAGTTGCCCATTCTTGGTTTTCCTGCCTGGCAGATTGGGGTTGGGCTGGATGGCCCTTGCAGTCCTTCCAACTCTATTATTCTGTGATTCTATGAAATGCTTAGCCTAGAGGTGCTCAGCAGTTGGGTTTGGTGGTGTAGAGGTTTATTTCTTTCATACCAAAAGCATTGCATAAATTAGTATCAAACTGGTAAAAATAGAAGGAGCGCAGGTGGCTAAACATCTTTTGACCCGAAACGGGCAACAGCAATGGCATTGTCTGTAGCCTCCAACAATTCTTCCTCTGTACATGAGGCAGGGCATAGTGGACAAGCATACAGATCCAGAGTTGTCTGTTCTGCTCCACAGTCACACAAGGCCTGGGATTCTTTTAGGTCGCGCCATTTGGCCAGGTTGCCTTTTGTTCTGCCTACTCCACTTCTGAGTCTGTTCAGGGACTTTCAAGTTGCCCATTCTTGGTTTTCCTGCCTGGCAGATTGGGGTTGGGCTGGATGGCCTTTGAGGTCCTTCCAACTCTGTGATTCTATGAAATGCTCAGCCTGGAGGTGTTCAGCAGTTAGGTTTGGTGGGAGAGAGCCGGGGAAGGATCAGGCCCGACGGGAGCTGCCTTCCTTGCCTCGTACCCGATCAAGGGGCGACCAGTCCGTCGGGGAGGAGAAACTCCTTCTTCGGTGCTTGAGACGCCCCCTCCCTCCGGTCCTTGAGGGCGGTGCTTTGGGCTGGGAGGGGAGGGGACCCCTTAGAGCCGCCGTCCGAGGGAAGACGAGGCAGCCTCTCTCTCCGAGAGTCCCTTCCAGGCTGTCCCAGAAAGAAACAAGCTGCTCCTCCATCCTCTACCCGTCGGGGAAGGATCCAGCGTAGGAGATGGTCGCCTCGTGGCCCTCGGGGCTGCTGCTGTGCCTCTTGCTGGGGCTGTTCTGTGGCCCCCCACGACCTGGCCCCGCCGAGGCGCAGTCCGTGCTCAGCGACCACGAGATCGAGGAGTTCCTGAAGGGCTTCCTAGGAGAAGGCGAGGAGGAGGAGGAGGAAGGCGGGGAGGAAGGCGAGAAGGCGGCCCCCGGGCCCCCCGAAGAGAGGGACCCCCGCCGGGAAGAAGGTGAGCCTCTCCGCAGGGAAGAAAGGCTTTCCCAGGCTCTGTCTCGCTTTGGCCCTGGCGCCTCCAGAAGGATGCCCGAGACAGGCATGGGGGGGGGGGGGGGGAAGGGGCTGAGGCTGTCAGGGATGGTGGGAGTTGAAGTCCAAAACACCTGGAGGGAAGGGGCTGAGGCTGTCAGGGATGGTGGGAGTTGAAGTCCAAAACACCTGGAGGGAAGGGGCTGAGGCTGTCAGGGATGGTGGGAGTTGAAGTCCAAAACACCTGGAGGGAAGGGGCTGAGGCTGTCAGGGATGGTGGGAGTTGAAGTCCAAAACACCTGGAGGGAAGGGGCTGAGGCTGTCAGGGATGGTGGGAGTTGAAGTCCAAAACACCTGGAGGGAAGGGGCTGAGGCTGTCAGGGATGGTGGGAGTTGAAGTCCAAAACACCTGGAGGGAAGGGGCTGAGGCTGTCAGGGATGGTGGGAGTTGAAGTCCAAAACACCTGGAGGGAAGGGGCCTGAGGCTGTCAGGGATGGTGGGAGTTGAAGTCCAAAACACCTGGAGGGAAGGGGCTGAGGCTGTCAGGGATGGTGGGAGTTGAAGTCCAAAACACCTGGAGGGAAGGGGCTGAGGCTGTCAGGGATGGTGGGAGTTGAAGTCCAAAACACCTGGAGGGAAGGGGCCTGAGGCTGTCAGGGATGGTGGGAGTTGAAGTCCAAAACACCTGGAGGGAAGGGGCTGAGGCTGTCAGGGATGGTGGGAGTTGAAGTCCAAAACACCTGGAGGGAAGGGGCCTGAGGCTGTCAGGGATGGTGGGAGTTGAAGTCCAAAACACCTGGAGGGAAGGGGCTGAGGCTGTCAGGGATGGTGGGAGTTGAAGTCCAAAACACCTGGAGGGAAGGGGCTGAGGCTGTCAGGGATGGTGGGAGTTGAAGTCCAAAACACCTGGAGGGAAGGGGCCTGAGGCTGTCAGGGATGGTGGGAGTTGAAGTCCAAAACACCTGGAGGGAAGGGGCTGAGGCTGTCAGGGATGGTGGGAGTTGAAGTCCAAAACACCTGGAGGGAAGGGGCTGAGGCTGTCAGGGATGGTGGGAGTTGAAGTCCAAAACACCTGGAGGGAAGGGGCTGAGGCTGTCAGGGATGGTGGGAGTTGAAGTCCAAAACACCTGGAGGGAAGGGGCTGAGGCTGTCAGGGATGGTGGGAGTTGAAGTCCAAAACACCTGGAGGGAAGGGGCTGAGGCTGTCAGGGATGGTGGGAGTTGAAGTCCAAAACACCTGGAGGGAAGGGGCCTGAGGCTGTCAGGGATGGTGGGAGTTGAAGTCCAAAACACCTGGAGGGAAGGGGCTGAGGCTGTCAGGGATGGTGGGAGTTGAAGTCCAAAACACCTGGAGGGAAGGGGCTGAGGCTGTCAGGGATGGTGGGAGTTGAAGTCCAAAACACCTGGAGGGAAGGGGCTGAGGCTGTCAGGGATGGTGGGAGTTGAAGTCCAAAACACCTGGAGGGAAGGGGCTGAGGCTGTCAGGGATGGTGGGAGTTGAAGTCCAAAACACCTGGAGGGAAGGGGCTGAGGCTGTCAGGGATGGTGGGAGTTGAAGTCCAAAACACCTGGAGGGAAGGGGCCTGAGGCTGTCAGGGATGGTGGGAGTTGAAGTCCAAAACACCTGGAGGGAAGGGGCTGAGGCTGTCAGGGATGGTGGGAGTTGAAGTCCAAAACACCTGGAGGGAAGGGGCCTGAGGCTGTCAGGGATGGTGGGAGTTGAAGTCCAAAACACCTGGAGGGAAGGGGCTGAGGCTGTCAGGGATGGTGGGAGTTGAAGTCCAAAACACCTGGAGGGAAGGGGCCTGAGGCTGTCAGGGATGGTGGGAGTTGAAGTCCAAAACACCTGGAGGGAAGGGGCTGAGGCTGTCAGGGATGGTGGGAGTTGAAGTCCAAAACACCTGGAGGGAAGGGGCCTGAGGCTGTCAGGGATGGTGGGAGTTGAAGTCCAAAACACCTGGAGGGAAGGGGCTGAGGCTGTCAGGGATGGTGGGAGTTGAAGTCCAAAACACCTGGAGGGAAGGGGCTGAGGCTGTCAGGGATGGTGGGAGTTGAAGTCCAAAACACCTGGAGGGAAGGGGCTGAGGCTGTCAGGGATGGTGGGAGTTGAAGTCCAAAACACCTGGAGGGAAGGGGCTGAGGCTGTCAGGGATGGTGGGAGTTGAAGTCCAAAACACCTGGAGGGAAGGGGCTGAGGCTGTCAGGGATGGTGGGAGTTGAAGTCCAAAACACCTGGAGGGAAGGGGCCTGAGGCTGTCAGGGATGGTGGGAGTTGAAGTCCAAAACACCTGGAGGGAAGGGGCCTGAGGCTGTCAGGGATGGTGGGAGTTGAAGTCCAAAACACCTGGAGGGAAGGGGCTGAGGCTGTCAGGGATGGTGGGAGTTGAAGTCCAAAACACCTGGAGGGAAGGGGCCTGAGGCTGTCAGGGATGGTGGGAGTTGAAGTCCAAAACACCTGGAGGGAAGGGGCTGAGGCTGTCAGGGATGGTGGGAGTTGAAGTCCAAAACACCTGGAGGGAAGGGGCTGAGGCTGTCAGGGATGGTGGGAGTTGAAGTCCAAAACACCTGGAGGGAAGGGGCCTGAGGCTGTCAGGGATGGTGGGAGTTGAAGTCCAAAACACCTGGAGGGAAGGGGCTGAGGCTGTCAGGAATGCTGAGAGTTTTATTATTATTTATTTATTATTTAAACTTATATGCCGCCACTCCCCTGAGGCTCAGAGCGGTTTACAAGAATAGCTAAAATCTAACAAAGTTTAAAAGCAATTTAAAACAATTTAAAAACAACAGTATCAAACATTAAAAGCCTGTCGGAACAGGTCTGTCTTACATGCCCTGCGGAAAGCTGGTAAGTCCCACAGGGCACGAACTTCAGGTGGCAGAGCATTCCAGAGTGATGGTGCCACTGCTGTGAAGGCTCTGCATCTGGTTGCCGTTAGACGCAAGGTCTTGACACTGGGGACTTCCAATAGATCTTGGTCTTCAGAATGGAGGGATCTTCAACTAGCCCAGCGAGCGGCAGCCAGATTGCTCACTGGGGCGACATACAAGGAGCACACCACCCCCATGTTGTGTCAGCTCCACTGGCTGCCGGTTCAGTTCCGAGCACAAATCAGGATGCTGGTCTTGACCTATAAAACCCTGTACGGTTCCGGTCCAGTGTATCTGTCTGAACGTATCTCCCGCTACGTCCCACCTCGGAGTTTGAGATCATCTGGGGAGGCCCTGCTCTCGACCCCACCACTCTCACAAGTGAGGCTGGTGGGGACGAAGAGCAGGGCTTTCTCAGTGGTGGCCCCTCACCTGTGGAACTCATTCCCCGGGGAAATCAGAGCATCACCATCCCTCCTCTCCTTCAGGAGGAGGGTGAAGACATGGTTATGGGACCAGGCCTTTGGGCAACCAAGCAATTAAACAAGATAATCTGACGGGTAAGACCAGCAGGATGGACGAAATGGTATCAAAAGCAGATCTATGAGACAGCAAACACTGACAATGTAAGGGAGGAATTGGGTTTGTATTGATTTTATAGATTTTATTGATTTTATTGGAATAATGCAACTGTTGGTAATTGTGAATTTATTGTAATTTGTGATGATTGTTGTGATGCAGGCATCTAATGGTGCCTTTACTGTGTAAGCCGCCCTGGGTCCCCTTCGGGGTGAGAAGGGCGGGGTAAAAGAACCCCAAATAAATATAAATAAATAAATAAATAAATAAATCTCTGGGGTTGGTAGGGGGTGAGGCGGTCCCTCAGATACATTGGCCCCAGACCATGCAAGGCCTTAAAGGTGAGTACCATCACTTTGAAAGTGATCCGGTGCTCAATTGGTAATCAATGCAGCTGTAGTAAGATTGGGGTTATGTGGCATCTCATCGGAATTCCCGCAAGAAGCCGAGCAGCTGCGTTTTGTATCAACTTGAGCTTCCGGATCACCGACAGAGGGAGGCCAATGTAGAGGGCGTTACAGTAGTCCAGTCTTGAGATGACTGTGGCCTGGATCACCGTAGCTAGGTCGTCCCTGGACAGGTTGAAATCCAAAACACCTGAAGTTTGCTCATGTCTGCTATACCAGTTTTTTTTTTCGTATCAGGAGCGACTTAAGAAACTGCAAGTCGCTTCTGGTGTGGCAGGATTGGCTGTCTGCAAGACGTTGCCCAGGGGACGCCTGGATGATTTTGATGTTTTTACCGACAGATCACAGGTTCAAATAGATAGAGCTCCCTCTATCAGCTCCAGCTCCTCATGCGGGGACATGAGAGAAGCCTCCCACAAGGATGATAAAAACATCAAAATCATCCAGGCGTCCCCTGGGCAACGTCCTTGCAGACGGCCAATTCTCTCACACCAGGAGTCACTCCTGACACGACAAAAAAAAAATTGCACCCCACATGGGGAGCTGGAGCTGACAGAGGGAGCTCATTCGCGCTCTCCTCGGATTCGAACCTGCAACCTGTCGGTCTTCATTCCTGCTGACACAAGGGTTTAGCCCACTGCACCACCAGAGGCTATAGCAGTAGTATCACTGCTTGTTGTTGTTGTTGTTGTTCATTCGTTCAGTCATCTCCGACTCTTCGTGACCTCATGGACCAGCCCACGCCAGAGCTCCCTGTCGGCCGTCACCACCCCCAGCTCCTTCAAGGTCAGTCCAGTCACTTCAGGGATGTCATCCATCCATCTTGCCCTTGGTCGGCCCCTCTTCCTTTTGCCTTCCACTTTCCCCAGCATATTGTCTTCTCTAGGCTTTGCTGTCTCCTCCTGATGTGGCCAAAGTACTTCAACTTTCTCTCTAGTATCCTTCCCTCCAATGAGCAGTCGGGCTTTATTTCCTGGAGGATGGACTGGTTGGATCTTCTTGCAGTCCAAGGCACTCTCAGGATTATTATTACTAGCCGTCCCCTGCCACGCATTGCTGTGGCCCACATGAGGGTTCTGTGTGGGAGGTTTGGCCCAATTCCGTCGTTAGTGGGGTTCAGAATGCTCT